TAACAAATTCCATTATCGATTTCTTCGAATTTCTTTTCTTTTATGCTTTATGGAAGAAAATAAATCAAACAAACAGTATTTTGAAAGGGATTCATCAAAATCTTTGACGAATTTTGGACACACACGACGCTGAAAGAACAGCCAAACTAGTCCTGTATTCGAAAGCTTGTTGTTGACAGCCAAGATGTTCTGCCAACTTGCTTTGCCAGCAAAAGTCTTATTTTTAATATCAGGTCCTACCGCCGTTGTTTTCTGAGCTACATCGCCTTCTTCGTGGTATGATTGAGAATTTAATTGTTGCTGTTATTAGCCTGTTAGTCGTTAGAGTATATCCGCGTCCAGCAAGTTGAGACCTTGAGAAAGCTTGGCAGTCAAGCCGTGCACAGAACTGACTAATTAAATCTTTGTTTGCTGTTCGCCTGTTTGGTTAAATAGAGAAACTGACTCTTAATTATATAAAAGTACCTTGAATTTTAAGTTTAATTAAAAAGCAAAATGCTCTGCGGACATGTTCATGAGAATATAATTTTTTTGTGTAACGAAATCTACAACACTTGTCAATCATATTGCATGTGTGTCTAAAAATAACATGTGGGCGTCCCACGGTCTAGACAGGTTTTGTGTCAGGCCCTATTTCAAATTAGGGCCTGAACTTCAGGTTAACAGAGTTATAACTAGTGTACCCACTTTTTTTGTGCACATGCTTGGCAAGTTACTAAATGCTTGCATCTGATTGGATGACGACTCACTTTTAACTGCTCACTGAACTTGCTGAGCATGCGCAGTTGATCATTTTTTGCCTGGTTGCCTGAATAAAAGTGGGTACATGAAAATGATGGTCAGTTATAGCTCTGTATGTCTGTACTCTGTGACTTGAGTAAAATTGTATGCATCTGCATGGTGATTACAGAAAACATTCACACTTCTTCCAAGGTAACCTGCGATCAGGCCTATTAATAAATAAATAGGCCTGATACAAATCTTAACAAAAGTCCATGCCATTACAACCGTATTACGGTTGTAAATCTGATTGGTCTATTAGACAAACGATTTTTTAATCTGTAATTTGATTGGTTAGTGCTAATTAGATTATACTATTGTCGTTGATAAATTGATAGTGATCACAACTATAATTAGATTGTTATTGTCGTTGTATGAAATTTAAATTTCTCCTGCGACATTTTGATTGGATACTAAATATAAACTTTGCTGTGGGCGGAAAGCGATCGGATTAAGGTTTGTGTCAGGCTCTTATTTGTAAAATAGAGCCTGATACTCAGGTTACTTCCAAGGAGGAAAGTACCCCCTTCATAGACCCCCCCCCAATTTAATTTAACAAATCTTGCAAGAAACAGTAATCGTGCAAAACTGATGCATGTCCAAATGATGAATTTTGCAAAATCTCCCTGTTTTTAATTTTTGAGGTTGACAAGTTTCATCACAATGAGCATACTGCATATTCCCTCTCATTAGACAAAGTAGAATTATAGTAAAGTAGGGTGTCTGAAGGTGCATTGCCACTTAGTCAAACAGGATATTCTCTTGCGAGCAACATTGCAATATTGTCCCAGAATGTTGCAATTTTGATAGGCAGATTGCTCTGAGCAATTTGCAATTGATGCGAACAAGTTGAAGAGCCTGGGTACGAGGTTGGTTGAAAGTCACAAATTTTGTAAACAAAGCCTCTGATTGGACTATTAGAAAAAAGGAATCCAATCAAATAGTCTGAGCAACTGGATTTGGAGAGCTTTCATTTTTCTTACAGTCCAATGTTGTTTGTGAGAGAACATTCGGTTTGACTATACAGGATTAATATAGGATGCATTGGCAGATAGTCTGATTAACCTATTGACTATTGAATGCCTTGCGCAGCACTCTTCCCTTGACGAGGAAACCATTTCACATTGGACAGCTGAGTAGAATGGTAAAGTAGGTTGCCTCAGGCAGTGACATAGCCAAGATTTTTAGTCAAGGGCACCTAAGAAATCCTTGTAGGGTACCCTGTGCTAGTTCAAATAAAGTTTGTTTATTATAATAATGTGAAAATGTATTTGGACTCGCATGCTATCCATGCAAAATATAGTACAAAGAACTTAATATGATCCCCCTGGAAAATTTTTAATTCTAGACTTGGTATTAAAGTGCAAATTTTTTTAGCATTTTGGAGACTTAATTTGAATGTGTTTTTGGTGATTTTAATTAACTAGCAAGATAATTTTTACATTACAAGAAAGGAGAATATAATGCACAATGTATATATGATGCATATGTACTGCAGGGTCAGAATTTTTCCAGAGGGTTCCATTATTTTCCCACCTCTGGCTATGTCACTGGCCTCCGGGTGCATTGCCTAAAGGGTTACACAAAAAGTTTGATTCAACTGGCTGCATGTAATTTATAATATTTTTTAATAACCCATATTGTTCCAATTGTAATGATTTCACAGCCTCGCTTGTCCATGCGGAGGCAAGAAAAAGCTTGAAGGATATGCATGTGGTTGTTGTTGGAGGTGGATATGGTGGTGTAGCAGCAGCCATGAAGTTGAAAGATCATTGTAATCTGACGCTAATTGACAGTAGAAACTCATTTCATCACAACATGGGTGCACAACGATCTTCTGTTGAACCAGGTAGGCCAATATTGTTATGCATCGTTATGTCAACAATCTAATAATTTACAGTATCTAGATTTCAGTATATCCCTTATGAAAAATCCCTACAGGAAATCCCATATTCTTACTGTAAAATTTCTTATGGGAAATTCTATATGTATTGGAGTACTATATCAGATAATAAAACACGGCAGCCAAAGTAAAATGTAGCCTAGCTGGACCACTGTTTTACATCTGAAAAAGGGTAAAAGCACAAACTGTGAGTGTTTTAAATGGCTTAAAAATGACCCAATCATAATAAAGGGTTTTACATGATTTTTTATCACATATAAAATATCAGATACTGTAACTTGTAAAGTGACCACTAGGCTCTAATATGGCCTCAAATGTCCCTCAAGTTCCCTCTTTCACAAGGCTGTCCCAAGTATGGTATAATCTCCTGAAGGGGGGGGGGGTCATATTCCCATTTCCCAGCCCAAATTTTGACTAAATCCCATTGTCCCAGAGCACAAATCCCATCATCTCAGTGGCTGTCCTGCTCAAATCTTAATCCCATTCCCATTTTCTATTGTTTTTTTGCCGATGAATCCCAGTCCCAGTGGATGAAATCCCATTTTCCCACCTGTAGACTTGGTTCAAGTCCGTCTCAGGAGAAAAGTAGACTTGGTTCAAGTCCGTCTCAGGAGAAAAGTAGCGAGAGACGGACTTCGGGCATTCGCAGCATTTCGAATGTTACTTGCAAAAATTGGCGCGAAAGTTTGTTGTTGTTGTTCTCAACTGGCAAGCTACGCCTCCGTAGGAAAAATTCGACGGTAAATTTTGGTGCGCTTGCAGGGTATCCAAGTCCATCTCCCTACTTTTCTCTCATATTTTCGCACCTTTTTTGACCGTTTGCGTGCATCGCTATTTTCAACCCCTTGAGAGACGGACTTGAACCAAGTCTACAAAAATGTTAACACTTTTATTCTGTAATGTTTTGACTAGTGACTACATACCGATTCACCGAAGTTTATTGTAATATGGTATGTTACTTTTATACTTTAGGTTTCGCCAAGAAATGCTTTATTTCCTATGAACCAACATTTGGCAAAGGATTCAAACAAGGTGCTGTGAACGCCATCATGGCTCAAGAGAAGAAAGTCCAGTTGGTTGGAGGAGAAACTGTCCCATACGATTTCTTGATTATTGCAACGGGAACCGGAGGACCTTTTCCTTGCAAGCTTGGCATGAATGTGAACGAGAAAGAGGGCTTGGCTTTTTATGATGAGATATCTCAACAGGTTTGTTTTGTTTACTAGTAATACTTATCGTTTAAAAATGAAAAATTATTTACTAATTAAAAATTAATTGCTGTGTTATTTACTTTCAACTTAAGATATTTATGTCAGAAAATATGCTGTTATCTTTATCTCATTACTCAATGGGTTAACTGGACACATAGGCAGTATAGGCTAGTTAACCCATTAAGCATCAGCGTTCTTCCAATGACGATCGAGTAAAATTGTCTGGCGTTAGACAGAGTAAAATTTGCCCCCACCCAATGTGTATACACCCATAAAAAAATGCTTATATTACGAACGCGAATATAAGCCCAGGGCTTATGTGACCTTACAGGATTTTGGTATACCACAGTTAAGAAAAGTACTCGACTAAATTATCCTACAGTTAATAACAGATATGTATTTTTCTGTAGGTGAAAGCGGCTCAAAAGATTGTCGTAATTGGTGGTGGCGCAGCCGGCGTCGAATTATCAGGAGATATCAGAGACGATTATAAAACAAAAGATGTCACTCTCATTCATCCCCGCGAGATTCTTGTCAATGATAAGGTCAACGAATCGTTTCAGAAAACGGTTAAAGATCGCTTGGAGTATCTTGGAGTCAAAACAGTCTTGGGTAACTGGATAAATTATCTTGAACTGTCTTTGTCAGTGTAGGTAGGGCGTAAAAAAATACCTGTGGTTCCGGTTCCATTTCGCGAAAAAATTAGGGTCGGTAGGTCGGAAATAATTTTTTTTCATGGTTTTTTCAATAATTAGCCTTTCTCACGCCGCCATTTTTGGGTGGCATTTCAGCCGAAGTCTGCGAGACAAGTCCACATAACAGCGACTTTTTATAATTTTTGGGCGAATGATGGTAAATTCGCTTTGTAAATGGTTAGTTTATTTCAGTTGAAAAATTGCTTTTCACATTGTTTTAATTGTCCGCATTGGTTAACGAGAATGATTATATTATGATCTATAATCATGATCTATAATCTATGTTTGAATGCCACCCAAAAATGGCGGGTATTCGTCATCGTGAGAACGGCTAATTAGTGTGACAACCATTGAACTATATATACTACCTGTAGTTCAATGGTGACAACAGACGCCATTTTGGCAGCAACCCGCAACCACCCGCAGAAAATAGGGTCGCACGGTCAATCGCGTTGGAAAAATAATAGGGTCGGCCGAAAAAAATAGGGTCGGTCGGTGCCAATCAAATGAACAAGCTTTCGTTGGTAGGGATGCAACTACCTGAAAAAACTGAATATAAAGAGAATTTCGACGTTTTGAGTGAAAAAAGAAATTTTTTTTGAAAGAAAAAAATGTAAATTTTTTTGAAAATTTTTGTGAAAATTTTTTTGTGAAATTTTTTTTTGTGAATTTCGACGTTTTAAGGCCCTTCGTCTGGAGTTACTAGCTAGACTATAAGTAAAGGTGAACTTTGACGTTTCGAGCGAAGGCCCTTTGTACGAAACGCTCGAAACGTACGTGGAAATTCTCCTTATATTTTTCAGGTAGTTGGTTAAATTATACTTTGCTATTAAACTCGAACGATCTGTGCCAGAGTAGGTAGTGACTAGAAGATAATGAAACAAGTAAGGAATAAGGTGAGAATTAAAGTTTGGCAAGGACAGATATAACTATAAACATAAGAAAAAACGTTCATTTATTCGATGGGCATAGCCATAGGCCGGGGTAGACAGTCCCAAATTTCATGTTTTTTTGCGACGATCATTGCTATGAGAAATGGGACAGAGGGCTCGAATTTCCATGTCTGAAACACTGTGATTGCCACTATTAAAATGTCTGGCAACAGGTTGGTTGGCATCGTTACCAATGACAGCACGCCAATGTTCACCAAACCTAGCCTGTGTTCCAGTCCACTACACCGTTGTGTGTAGCTACTAGAGCACAGGCTACACCAAACCTTGTCCTCAAATGTCTGCCAGTTTCCCCGATACAAAGCATGATGTATTTTCCCCGATACAAAGCATATGGTATAAATGAACGTTTTTATATGTAATAGACGTATGGTTTCGAATGCAATTTGGGAAAAATATTCACGAGTGAGTTTTTCAAAGACGATCAATTGAACTCTTTGAAAACTCACGAGTGTATGGGTAAATTTCTAAATTCCACGAGAAACCGTACTGTTACTTAATAATATACTTGAAAAATTTTGCAGTCATGTCCATGAGTGGGTCACATTCGCCTTCGGCTCAGTGAATATAGGCTTGTAATCACCTCGCCTTCGGCGACTAATTGTTAAGTGGTGATTGCCTTGTTGAGCTCAGATCCAATGAAGTATTTTTTATTTAATTTGTTCAATATCTTTTCCCTTTGAGCAATTAGATTCGTAGGAAACTGAACGTTCTTGAAAGTTGTAGTGTTTGACTAGAGCATGCAAAAAATTCGAAAGCATTTAAAGTCCTTGAATTTTTTTACTCGAAGAAGTGCTTGAACGTCTGGGAATTTAAGTGACTTTTTCATATAGGTGAGCGTGTGAGCAATATGGATGAATTGCGTGCAAAGAATTTCAAAAATGTTGTCGTGAAAACAAACAAGGGGAAGAAAATTGAAGCAGATTTGGCCATTCCTTGCACTGGTTTGAAAGTCAACTATGATGCATATAAAACAAGTTTAGGTATGTTGACTGTAGGAGTATAGGGTTCGATTGACCCGCATATGGCGTAGTCAGAGTCTAAACTTTCGGAGGGGGGGGGGGGGGCAAAATTTCTATGTCATTTGGAATGGGAGCGCCAAAGGTGCGAGGGATTTAGGGGGGGGGATCAGGGCCGTAGCTAGAAACGATAATTGTGGGGGGGTGTATATTCAAGGCCAGTCCTTTTGCCCATTGGGGCATAGATTGGATCATACATTTTACAATATGATATGAGACATCGCCATTTTGCCAGTTCAATGAATAAAAATGGCAAGCTAAAATTTATTTCATCTACCAAAAATATTTAGACTTGCAGGCCATATTTCTCTACTTCGAGCCCTGGTCTGGTCTAAAATTGTATATAAATTTTCGCTTGAAATTACCATCTACTAAAAATCCATCAACAGATTCTATTTCGTTTCGCAGCTGGAAAAACGAACAATGAGGGTCGACTAAAGGTGGATCAATTTCTCCAAGTGGAAGGCGTGAAAGATGTGTACGCTATTGGTGATTGTTCGAGTACACCTGAACTAAAAGTGGCCACTGGAGCCCAGGCCCATGGGGAGCATGTCGCGGCAAATATCAAGCTGTTAGCTGAGGGAAAAGAGCCGAAGCCGTACACGATTAACGGTGAATATATATTCTTAGTATAATTTCAGTTTTGAAAAATGGCCTTTGAACATTCTGATCAGTGCCTCCCTCAGCAGTAACTCTGAGGCAATATAGTTACTGCTCAGACTGCTACGGAAGTAAATTATTTATGCAAATTATATTCATAAAATAAACATGTGTTTTAGTTGTATTTATAAAGTAAAACTTTTTCAATACTGAAATTATACTAAAACAATTAGTCGCTTCAGGCTAGGTGATTACAAGCCTATATTCACTTCGCCGTCCGCACAGGGAATATAGGTTGGTAATCACCTCGCCTTAAATATTGTAATGTGGTTGATTGTAGTCACCATTCGCCTCCTGAAATATCGGAAAGTGGTCAAGATAGTGACTCTGATTGATTTACACATTGTATTATTGACATATGACTGTTGACATTGTAGTATTTAGTCTTCAATATGACAATAGTTTTTTTTATTACCCAACCCTTGAGTTGTTTTGTTTTTCATTTACCCAACCTTTTACTCACTCAAAATTTTGTCTACCCAGCCCTTTTCTCTTCGGTGCCATTTCCCCCATGAATAATGACCGGCCCCTTATAAAAGGTTGAAATTTATTCCAATTTTTTGTTTCCAGAAAAAATCAGCATGTGTTTATCAATCGGTCGCAGTGGAGGTGCTGTACAGATGGGGAATGGTTGGGTCATGGGTGACTGGTTTGCTCGCTTCATCAAGGGCAAGGATGTATTCACTGGAATGACATGGAAAGCAATGAATAGAAAAATGCCTCCCGATCAGTAACTTTTGCCGTCAGGTTTTAATTATGTTATATACATGTATGTTTGCATATTTTGATGTCATTAAAGTATTTGATTATTTTCTGGGGAAGATGTATGTTGTTGTTGTCGTTAATTTGGGCGCAAAACGTGAAGTAACGGGTGGACGCCCAACGTTTTCTCGGACCAAATTAATCATTGTTTTTTCCAGTCAAATACTCAATTGGCTTGGGAGTTTTCGTTCGGGCAAAACCTCTCATGCAGTCAGTTTAATAATTGACCAAATCAATGCTGGTTCACCAACGGTGAATATTCTGGCACTATTCGCCGTCACTGGGTTGAATGATAGACCTTATGCATAATGACGTCACAAGGCTTGATGCCCGCGAGGAATGCTGGTCTTAGTAGTCATCGCCCGGGAAAATTTTACCAATTTCGACAGTGGCCATGCATTTTGAATTGTTTAATTATTCCCGGGCGATGACTACTAAGACCAACATTCCTCGCAGGCATCAAGCCTTGTGACGTCATTGTGCATAAGGTGATTGTTTTAAAGAATAGCATGTACCAAAAATGAGCAAAAAAACAACAAAAATAGTTTTAAAACAATTTGTATTTCAGCTCCCGTAATATATAGGAACTATTAGTAATTTTATTCATTAGAAATAGCTATGTAAATGTGTATTTCATAGTCATAAATGTGTATTTCATAGCCGAAACTCTGAAAGTATGTGTACAAGGAAAATTACAGTGTTGATGATGCAACGACACAGGAATTGAACCGATATTCTGTCTCCATGCTCATAGGCTTACGAGGCGATGGGTATTTATAATGTTCTTGTAAAACATTTCCTAGCTTCGGAGATACAATTAGCTTATCTAAAATCCATAATAAGTAGATTTTGAGAATAGATAGCAATTAAGTATGAATTATGTAAATCAGTAGTCCAGTCATTATGTTCGATTGTTCGGTCAGTTACGCCGTGTATTTACCAGAGGACTGGAAACCACAATAAAAAATTGAATGAAAATTTTTTCTCTTTTGTTTTTTTTTTTTTTCAAGTAAAATAGACCAGTTGATTTTTTAACTAGAAAATGACACGACACCATCATACGCCGAAGAACTTGGAAAATGCAAGTGAATTTCGTCTTTTTGTGTATGAACTTACCGAGTCAAAAAGTTTTGGTGCTTTTGTATTGTTCATAATTTTACTCAATACTGTTATTCTTGTCGTTCAAACGGACGAAGCAATTTCAATAAAGGGAGGTAATGTAATGATTTATGTATATTAGTTTTAAACAAATAAAATTTAATAGAAAACAAATAAAAGATTTTAAATTTGTTTTTAAAGCGAATGCTTTTATACATTGCGAAAATTATTTATAATTTAGTTTTAAACAAAAAAAAACTTAGGGCATTTAGCTCTTTGGATATGTTTCGAAAATAAAGCATTGTTTCGTAGGGCGCATTTTCCTGAAGACTGGAAAACCATTCAGGAAACATTGTTTTCTAGTCAAGTTTTCCGAAGATGGGCAAACCAGGAAACATTGTTTCCTCAAGAAAAATAACACTTGCCCACATGTTGGAGAACAAAAGCTATTTCTGAATTCTGAATTTGTTTGAAGTCTATAAATTTTTTGATAGTTTAAAACTTTAAAGAGATTATCATGCCATCTTTGACAAAAAGCTTTGAGTAGGAATTATTTTTACAGCTAGATATTTTTATCGTTAATGTTTTGTCTATTTTCAAGGCTGGTATTTTTCAGCAATGGATAACGTCTTTTTGGCAATCTATATTATGGAGTTAATTCTCAAACTGTACGCGTTGGGTTCGCATTTCTTCAATTCAGGCTGGAATGTCATGGGTAAGTTCACTATCACTTTATAACATTGATTAAACGTACAATAATTTAATATGCAAAGTGTTAAAAATCATTATAAATTTCACTACATGGCAACTGATAAATGCTAAACGCCTTGATATACTACTAATTTAGATTGTACTGCATCTCGTATTTCCATAGATTTTACATGCTTTCTTACAAAACAAATAGAAGACAATTACCGTATCTTTCCAGTTTTGGCCGCTATAATCCTGCCTTGCATGCGTTTAATTTTTCAGACATGTTCATTGTACTGTTTACGACTGTGGATTTTCTACTGCCACTGATTGTGAGAAGTGTTGGAGCATTTGATGTTGCCGCCATCTTCAGACTTCTGAGAATGTTCCGTGCTATACGTGCTTTGAGAGCTCTTAGAGTGTTGAGAACTATCAGGTATGACTATTGTTTGGTTGGTTGTATCTCACCGGTATCGGAGTCTTTTGGAACACTGGGCTTGTGATTCCAAAGAGGTATTGAACAAGGATGAGAATTGGCGGTGAAACGCGAGCTAGAGTTGAAACTCTCTTCTGCTTTCATCATGGACCAGGCGTACGAAGTTTGATAAACTTCGGGCCTATAGGCTATACTCACCCGAGGCGTCACCATGGTTGGTGCCGAGCGGAAAATGTTTGAAAACTTGGAGTCTCAAAATCAGTGGAAATGGCATTCTCAAAGTATTCTCTACGTCTTTCGTTCGCCTTTTCATTAATATTCTTTCGTTATAATTTGTGAGTCGTATATGCTAGCCGCGAGTCTGGATGGAAAATGATTATTACTATTATTAATAGACCTTTCTTATAATGACGTAAAACGTGGAAAACCAATTTATGCGATATCCCACGGGACAATGCAAGTCGTTGGTGAGCTAATAAATTTCATATAAACATCATTTGCATTGCGAATTGTCGCTACAAATTGTACCTTGGGACATCGCAATAGGTGTAAGAAAGGTCTATTGGCCGCTCAGCGTAGTTTTTTAAAATTCAATAGTCCTTTTCTGGGGGACGAAATCTATTCCGGCCCCTTTTATAAAATATTGGGAAGGACGGCGGTGCTTACTATGCTCCTGACCGGGGCTTTACACGGTGGTTGTGCTTGTGCTTTTATCACTGCGCCTGTGCTGCTGTAGGATTTGATCGGAATACGCAGTTTTTTTGTATTATAATTTAGCCTCCTGATAATGCTTCCACCACTACCACCAAGTATACCAAAGGTTTTTCCAAGAAATCCTATTTCTTCCTGCAGTAACAAGACATCCATAACGAATGACCCTTACTTTACTGCTAGGAAGAAACGTACCAAACTGATGGCAACCTCGTACCCAGGGTTTTCCGTGGCACCAGAGAGTGAGAGAAATACCCTGGGTACGAGGTTGAGCTGACAGAACTATCATGCGTAATAGAGTCAGGCAAAACCATAAAATTAAGAAAATTGGCAGCCCAGTCACAGAATATGGCCCAGTGGTTAATGTATCTGCCTTTCGCCTCCACAACCGGCATTCGAAAATATTTCCTTCAATTATATACTATGTATCGAGCAAAAATTTATGGATGTTTAATAATGATTTGTACATAAATTTTCTATATATTACAATACTATTCAGTTCTCAATACCATAACTTACTCGAATTATTTTTCTTACAGATTTCTGAAAAATCTTCAAGTAATAATGACAACTATCCTCAAATCATTCCGCGCTCTCAGCACCATCGTCTTGCTAATGTTTCTTTTTCTTTGTATCCTTTTTTGTGACGTATATCTTAAAATATTGTTATACGAAAAGCAGAACCACATCGAAAATTGACTACGATTACACCCTCAGATCACGAGTATAGTAACTCATTTCAATATATCAATATCATCTCGTCTCTTGTACCATTCAGGGAATGTAAACATGCGTTTAATTAAGGGATATACACATCCAGTTAGCACTTCCCTATGTTAGTCGTTTTCGGAAAAACAAGATGCGATAGTTTAATAATCTTGAATTGTATTTGCCAGTGTAGGTAGTGCCAATCAAATTAATAAGCTTTCGTTGGTAAGGATGCAGCTACCTGAAGAATATAAGGAGAATTTCGACGTTTCGAACGGTTGCCCTTCGCTTGGAGTTATTAACTAGGAACCCCACTGGTAACTCCAGACACCAAGCAGGGCCGTAGGAAGCTCTTTTCGATTGGGGGGGCTGAAAGCGAGGGCCGAAGGCCCGAGGAAATTTTTAAATTTAGAGTCTCTAAAATGCCATTTCCTGGTCTTTGGGGGAAGATTTAACAGAATTCTGATAGTCAGAAAACAGCGTTTTAGTATGTCGAAATTTACAGGAAAGTATGGGCCAGACTGTAGTATTATAAATGCGCGGCGGGAATTTTCGTCGTAAATGGCAGTTGCGCGGAAATGAAGGCAGAACATTTGAGAAAATTTCGAAAATCTGGAGTCTCTAGATGGTCTGAAATGGCATTTTTAGAGTTTTCTTTCGCAAGACCCAACACGCAAAAGACAAAATAAATCATTAGTTCATCAAAAATGTGCAGATTTTGTGGGATTTTCTTGAAAATGCGCGACAGAAATTCAGCTAAAATTTCTACGCGAGGAACAATCTGGAGTATGAGTAATATCTTCATTCTTTGCAGTTTGTCACAGATTAAATGATAAAGTTTGCATGATTTTGAAAAAAGAATGATTATTAGCAAATTATTGGGGGGGCTGCAGCCCCCCCAGCCCCCCCCGGTTGCTACGGCCCTGCCAAGGGCTTTCGCTCGAAACGTCGAAATTCTCCTTATATTTTCAGGTAGTTGCATCCCTACCAACGAAAGCTTGTGCAATAATAGTTCAAGGCTTTTAGTTGCGCCTGACTCATGGCGGTGCAGTAGTATATTTCAGTGATTATTATAAGCAGTGGCACAAACTTCAAACTCAAGGTGTACTTAGTCTTTAAGATAAAGGACATAAATCACAAGATGATCATTAAGTAACCTACGAGTATAGAACAAGAAGGAACACGACCACATATACACTGCAGTGTGCAAACACAACTGACTCCAACATTCATTTTCCTCAGTCCCATCTTATCCCATCAATCCAATTATGTTTCATACCAAGACATGTCGGAATGGATATTACGGATTTGAACAATTTTGAACACTTAGGAAAGTTTGCGATCATATATATGGTACCAGCAAAATGCATGTTGGTGCTTGGCTGAAAGCGAAGCAATATAGACCGAGATATTGGCGTACCTCTGGTACGTAAGTATATATGTGAATTACTGCACTCTGTAAAAACATTGGTCCTATAAAAAGAGCAAAGGACAAGCAGTTATATAATACTGTATGTGGCAATCCTTGACAAGTTATTCTTTGCTAGATATGTTCGCTGTGATTGGTCGGGAGTTATTCAGTGCTGTGGACCCCAAACGATTTGGTTCTTTAGCAAAAGCTCTCGTCACGTTATTTCAACTGATCACATTAGATGATTGGTTTTACATGTACACAGATATCATCAATGTCGATCCAGGTACATTTAGAGAACTCCGGCTTTGTTTTTGAATTAGCGAAGATGGCGGAAGTTGAAGCCATTGAACTATAAATAAACTGGAAGGCTAACTGCTATGATGAAGGCCTATGATTTGATGAAGCCAAAATAGTCTTTCTGAGTTATGAGCAGAAATACTTGACCCCAAACGTCGGGCTATATATCAAATTGAAGCTATTGAAAATTGCTATTCGGTGTGGAAATTTCAAGACTTCGGCGAAAAGAAAAATATTTAAAAAATACGAAAACAACTGCAAAACGGCAAATTATCGGTAATTATGTTTGTAGTTTTTCAATATTTCCCTTTTGGCTAAAGTCTTGAAATTTCTACACCAAATAGCGTTTTTCAATAGCTTCAATTTGATATATAGCCCAACGTTCAGTGTTGAGTATTTCTGCTCATAACTCAGAAAAACTAAAATGCACTGGCTTCAATTTCCCCCCCTGAGTTAGCCTTCCAGTTTATTTATAGTTCAATGGTTGAAGCCCGTCTTGTAGGTATGCCCCCTAGGCCCCTACGCGGAAATTCACTGAATTCAGTACGAAAAATCGGCATGATTTTATGTAGAAATTTAATTCTTTTTTAGCCGACTATTTTTTAAGTCCGGCTTTAGTATGGCCCTAAGAAACTAGAGCAAGTGGTCTTTCAGAATAACCAAATTTTAAAAAACAGCTCATCATAAAAAAACAAGTTCATCGTGAAAAACAAATTCAGAAAACAAACCAAACTTGCCAAGGAAAAATTGCTCGTCTACTAGGCTTTATACTATAAAGTGCGAGACGATATTTTTGAAATACAAGTTAAAATAATACAAATATTCTATCGTTGTCCATCGATTTTGTTGTTGAACAGCTGTAATACAAGGCCTCTGCAGGGACGTCGCGAAGCCATCAACATTGGGGGGTGTCGTCATGTTTTGACCAACATTTCCTATAATTATAGCAAATATCGGATTTGGGGTATCTCACTCAATACAAGAGCTGGTTTTCGAGTGTAAAGACCTAACTAGGAATAGTTGCGAAAAAATGAAACTATAGGCCCTCTGGCGGAATTGAGGCCATTGAACTATAAATAAACTGGAAGGCTAACTCCTATGATGAAGGCCTATGATTTGATGAAGCCAAAATTAAATAGTTTTTCTGAGTTATGAGCAGAAATACTTGATCTCAAACGTTGGGCTATATATCAAATTGAAGCTATTGAAAATTGTTATTCTTTTTTGAAATTTCAAGACTTCAGCGAAAAGAAAAATATTTAAAAAATACAAAAACAACTGCAAAACGGCAAATTATCGGTAATTATTTTTGTAATTTTTCAATATTTCCCTTTTAGCTAAAGTCTTGAAATTTCTACATCAAATAGCGTTTTCCAATAGCTTCAATTTGATATACAGCACAGCGTTCAGTGTTGAGTATTTCTGCTCATAACTCAGAAAAACTAAAATGCACTGGCTTCAATCGCCCCCCCCCCCCTGAGTTAGCCTTCCAGTTTATTTATAGTTCAATGATTGAGGCCTATAGACTGTAGGCTATGGCAGGACTGTAGGCCTAGACCTGCGCGGCACTTCGATTCCTATTGCTCGTTTGCAATCGACGCCATCTTGGTTGATTTTCGTGGCAACTAAAAATCTATATTCTTCATTCTTAATTGTCGTATTGTGCCAGAAATCGTAAACTATCCATAATACAGTGAGATGTTTTCAAAACAAACCAAAAATATTAAAGTAACTCAACTTAGTCAACTATTTCGATGTAAACGGCTGCATGGAAAAAACTTTAAAATCAACCAAGATGGCGCATAATGACACGTAGTGACGTCATGTGCAAGCAAAGAATAGTTGCATTTTTCGCAACAGCTCCTGGTTAATACTAGGTCTAATAAATGTATAAAATCTACACCCGAAATCTCCAAGTATATCATTGATCAGACAAAACGTGAGCAAGTCTTCTAAATCTGGTTCGCACGAGTGGATTAGCAGGAATGTAAACAAGAAATGTACTCAGGGACAGAGGCCCAGGGACGTCGCTATAGG